GGGCAAAGGGGGCCTCCCTGACCCCCAACACCCTGGGCCTGCAGACTCAAGAGGGTCCCAGGCAGGGGGAGAGAAACTCATGTTGGGGCCAGTATGACGAGAGAAGGAAGCAGAGATATGTGGGGATATAAAATGCCCCTTTAAAAAGCACACGGAGAAAGGAAATTGTGGCAAGCTGGTGGGCTCTGGCCTGACCCTGTGCTGATAGCAAACGTGCTTGTCAGCCTCCCACCACCTGCTTCCCTTCTCTGTGTGGTCATATGCTCTCTCTTGAGCTCTCTCTCTGTTTTGACTTCAACCCTGAGGTTCAGCCCTAGTTGCAACACTGAGCATTTCTTTAAAAGGCACACAGTTAACCGCTGGAACCCCCTGCCACTAGGACACAGGAGAAAAGCTGGGCTGTGGCCACCCAGAAGGAAGCATGCAAGGAGGACGGGATGCGAGTGGGATGCTAATGCATTTACTGCCTCTGACACTGGAGGAAGAGCTGCCGGGGGGAGGGAGGGAGGGAGGGAGGCGGCGATTCCCAGCGAGGAGCTGCAATCACTTTCTCTTTCCCTCTCCAGCCTCGCTCCCAAACTTGCGCCTCGAGTTCTGCCTGGCGACCGGTGCCGCAATCAGCGCGCCGATTTCTGATTGGCGGAATATTTTCCCCTCGCCCAATCCGGGCTCGCTCTGCTGCTGGTTCCGCGGGCGGGGCAGAGAGCGGGTCTCAGAGTCGGAGGGAAAAGGACGTCGCTGGAGTAAGAGGAGGAAAAAGGAGCTTCGTTTTGGGGGGAGATGGGGGTCCTCCTCCTCCGCTGGCCCCCCCTGATCCTGGGGGCGGCTGCACACCTGCTGCTCCTGGACTGCGCAGGTGAGGACTGTGCTCTGGGGCGGGGGGAGAAAATAATCCCTTCCCAGACATCTGTTTCCCAGACTTGGCTTGTTTTGTATGCCGTCCGGGGCAGGGGCCGCTTCACTCCTGGGCTCGGGGCTCAAGAAAAGAACAAGACAAAGCTGGAAGGTGTTGGCAGGATTCATGGTGGGGAAAGTGACTCGCCTGTCCCGCCCCCCGGTCTTTCCTCTTCTATTTTTTACCTTCCCTCTTCTAATTCAACCCTCAGCCGCTCTGAAAACTCAGCTCAACACCCTGGAGACCAGCCTGGGGGTGGGAGCTGGACGCGTGTAGAGCTGACTTCATTGCGGGGGGAAAACGTCTGAATAAGGGGTCCCCACCCGCAATTCCCAATGTTGTGTTAATCAATAATTCCCTTCCACCTGCAAATCCATCATCATGTTCTCCTGCTTTACAATTTTAACTCCCCCCCCCAAAAAAACCCCCCGCTTTCCTGTTGCCTGTCAAAAATGTAGGTTTTGTAAATTATACAGGGGGCTTCTCTGCCGTTTCTGTACAGCCCCTTTCACTACGTTTTGTACACGTCAAGTTGTTTAGGACGAAGGGCACAAACAACTCCTGAAAAAGAAGTGGGGGCCCCCACCCTGCAGCCCGGTTCCCCTTGAATACCCCCTCCTTTATATTCTCCTCCCCCCCCCAAAAAAACAAGTCAATAAAGTTGGAGCCTCTGCCTGGATTCTTGGGCTCCTAGACATGAATTTCCCTTGCTCAGAATATTCCTGCTCCCCCACCCCACCAGTCCATTGGCTCTGCACAAGGATTTATCACTATTTAATTCTTAATTCCACATTCCTGATTGCTGCCTTTGGTGTTTTTCTCCTTTTGGGGTTGCCACTCATGTTTTGTTTAACTAAAATATATATATATCCTGCTCGATTGTGGTAAAAACTCTAATTGATTTACAGGAAACAGTAAAATAATAAAAACAGTTGAAAGCATTAAAAAATAATTAAAATTAGCAATGATAGGCCAAAACACATCAACATTTATGTATCTGGATAGTGTTGCCCAAAGAAAAATGTTTTAAGCAGACACTCTTGTGAGACAATCATATTCTTCCTGGGTAGGGAGAAAGAAGAGTAAGACCTGTTATTTCTATGTTAAACTCTCTCCATATAGGGGGCTTTGGGAGGGCAAAGGGTGGTGGAGACCACTGGTTCCTTCAGATTCCTCCTCACTTTGGGGTCTCACGTGTGACTCATTTTGTGGCTCTTTGTCTCCTGACCACTGAGCAGAACTGCCTGTCTTGTTTAGCCAGATGCCACAACCAGAGGCAGCCGTGCTCTGAGCTCTTGTGGTTTGAACTGGGGGGAGCCCCTGCCCTGGGAGGGCTGGCCTTGGAAGTGGATCCCATTTGATCTTGCCTGAAAGGAAACCGAGGAGCTGGAGGGAGGTAGCAGAGTCCACACACCATCAAGGTGGACGTAATTCAAGCATCTTGTAGGTTTACGATTCATCTTGTAGCTTTATGATTCCTTGCACTCTGTTTTCCACCGTGGAACTCCCTCAGCAGGTGGTAGATTCTCCTTCCTTGGAAGTATTTTAGCACAGGTTGTATGGCCATCTGCCATGGATGCTGCAGTTGAGATGCCAGCATCGCAGGGGGTGAGACCTTCAGGGTCCCATCTATGAATTTTATTTTAATTTCCTAGTTTTTTTGAGATGAGTCACTGGCCAAACTCGAGTGGACTGCTTCCTCCTTGAGGATGAAGTTATCCAAAGTGCATTCAACACAATTTTCCCAGGGGTATGATTGGTCCTCAAGGACCACCTCTTTCCATATGAACATACCTCAACCCTGAGATAATCTTTTTTTAAAAATTATATTTTTATTGGTTTGCAAATACAAAAAACAAAATTGTACATTTCAACTTCTTAATTACATCTTAATTCCATTTTTGACTTCCCTCAATTTGTCTGAGCTTCCTTCATTTTATCACTTTTAACACATTTCTACCCCTTGTTATTAAAACTATTAGATTTAATTCATTATTTTTGTTGTGTATTGAGTCAAAGGATTTTATATCTGTATTATTATTGTCTGTATTTGCATTAGGGTAAAGTAACTGCCTTTTGGTTCCAGAGGGTACAGCTACTATTGGTTCATTTAAGCTGCTGTATTTGGATCCTCTGTCTCATTGGTTTCCTCCAAAGGCAGGACTGTGATTGCCTGATATTGTTCCCTCCAAAATGTATCCTTTCTAGCTAGTCCCCTGTCCCTATAAATGTAGCTTTCCCCTCCTCAGACCTCAGTCTTGTTTGCTGTAATAAAGAAGTGTTACTAGAGAACTGTCTCCAGCATATTATGTCAAGAGAGCTGAAATCACAAATCCCACGTCACAACAATTTTTACTTATTGTTACATTTTCACATCACAGAGCTTCTTCAAAACTTACAAACGTAATCTGGTTATCACTTAGTATTTGCAAATATTGAATAAACTTCTCCCAATCTTCTGTAAATCTTTGATCTCGTCGATTCCGGATCCTTCCTGTCATTCTGTCCAATTCCGCATAGTCCATCATTTTAGTTCTCCATTCTTCTATCATAGGCAGCTCCTCTTGCTTCCATTTCTGAGCCATCAATATTCTTGCTGCTGTCACTGCGTATAAAAACAACTTCTTCTCTTTCTTATTTATCTCATTCCCTGTAATGCCTAGTAAAAATGCTTCAGGTTTCTTAGTAAATGTATATTTCAACATTTTCTTCAATTCATTATAAATCATTTCCCAGAATTTTTCTCATTCATACCTTTAACATTCCAAGACCATAGTTTCAATGCCATATTGAATTCTTATTAATTTAAATAAATATCTTAAAATTTTATTTCTCCTCCCTTTCTTCCCCCTCCTCTCCCTCCTCCTCTGATTCTTGTGGCGCTCCTCCTCCAGCTCCTGCCTCTGCCAGTGCTGCTCCATCTTCTTCTCTTCCCAGCTCTTTATATCTTCTTAAAAATTTATCCATCTCATCCAATCTTGTTATCCTATTTCTTTCCTTTATATGCAAATGAGACTCCTTCTGGGAATTCCCATCTGAACTCAATTTTTTATTTCCTCAGAGCTTGCACCAGCTGTTGATATTGGTTCCATTTTTTTAACAGCCGAAGTGGGACGTCTTTAAAAATAATTATATTACATCCATCAGTATTCAGTCTTTTCTCCCTATTCTTTTGTAAAATTAAATTTCTCATTTCTCGATCTTTAAATATAACCAAGCAGTCTCCTGGGAATTTCTTAGCTTTCGTTGTTCTCATCTTAATTCTAAAAGCATTTTGTATTGTCATTGCGATGTCCTCTTCCTGCATCTCCATCTCCATCTCTGCTGGAACCACACCAATTATATATGCAGCAGGCAGAGAGCTCTTTTTGTGCAAGGTTTTCATGAGATCTTATGGGGCTGGCCTGAGTTCTCATAAGATCTTGCCAAAGCCTCCCAGAGCCCAGGAAGCAAGACCCAGGCCAGAGCTGTTCAGTGCATGGCTCCAGAAGGTCAGATGGTGGGGCGGCTCCAAGGGAGTGGCTTCCCTAGGCCCGTTTCTGCAGATATGAGCCATTCCAGTCAGGGCAGACAACTCTGAGCTACCTGGACCAGTGTTCTGACCCAGGAGGAGGCAGCTTCCTGGTCTCTCAGTATATGGATTTTGCTTCTTCTGGTCTCCCCTCCATCCACTTCCCAGACCTGAGCCTGCTTAGCTTCCGTTTGGTGCCTGCATCCTGAGCCTTCAGACCATGTTGTGGGAGCTCTCATCAGCTTGGCGCTTGCAAGTGGGGGGCAATTCCTGCCCCCTTGGCAAAAGGGAGGGGCTGGCCTCTCTCTCCCTCACATGGAGCCTCAGCAGAGACATGCAGAGATTTAGTGCTGCCTGGCAGAGCTTTTTCTCGCCCTCTGCTCCATGGGCTATTGTTGTGGTTACTTGTATTTATATCCTTTCCCCTTTTCAAGTCTAGGATTCTTAGGCCCCCTCTGCTCTGCCTCCTCTGTGTTTAAGGGCAGGTCTACAAACTCCCCCAAACCCTGCTGAACTTTGGATCTCCTAATTTGGGGCTGCTGCCTTCATCTGCAGGACCCCTAACTCTCTGCCCCCTTTCCTCTTCCTTTCCAGGCTCCACTTCTCACTCCCTGCGCTACTTTGTCACAGCCGTGTCTGAGCCTGGCCAGGGGCTGCCCCAGTTCATTGATGTGGGATACGTGGATGACGAGCAATTTGTTCAGTATGACAGTGACACCCAGGAGATGCTGCCTCGCGTCCCCTGGATAAGGAAGGTGGAAAAGGAGGATCCTCAGTACTGGAACAGGAACACTCAGACACTTCAGGGCACTGAGCTGGTGTTCAGGGGGAACCTGGAAATTGCTAAGAATCGCTACAACCAGAGCGGAGGTGAGTGGAAGGCAGGAGAGGAACAGAGTCACACCTCTCTCTCCCCCCCAATAACGTTTCCTCCAAGGGCCAGAATTGCAGGGAGGGGGCTGCTGGGAGGAAAGGAAATGGAGGGTGGGGGTCTCCTCCAGGGCAGAGGCATCTCCCCTTCCCTTAATGACGGTCTTAATGGGGGCTGGGAAGGTGTGTGGGGGGGACAGAGAACGTGACTTGGAGACCTCCCCCCCCCAGTATGACCCTCTCTGGACCTGCACATCCTACCAAGGAAATGTCTCCATTGCCTGCCCTTCCTTCCATGCTAGGCTTGGCTTAGGCCTTCTGAGGTGGAAATCTGTCTAGTTCATTTTCCTCTGGGCGGGGAAGAGAAGGGTGGGGATCCTGAGGCTGAGACAAGCAAGCCTTGAGTTCTGGTCCTGCCTAAGGAGAAGCCAGCTGCCCAGACAGAGGTGCTGATTGGCTGACCCTTCTGACCATCACCAAGCTCCTCCCTCTCCCTGGCACAGTGTTGAAAGAGAAGCCTTTTTAAGGAACACAAATGGACTGGGTTTGGGGGGGGTCAGAGTGGCAACTACATGGTTAAAACCATAAGCAGGGTGGGCAACTGAAGTGGGGGGGGGGGGTAGACAAGAGCCCCCAAGGTCATCCTGCAGCCAGGGAGTCCCCAGTAGATCAACACTTTTCCCTGCAGGCAGAGTTCAAACTGTAGCTTTTCTCCTTTTGTAGTCATGGCCAGCTGTAACCAATTAGCCCAGAGCTCACAAAAACTGTTCTTAAAGGTACAAACATGTTTCTGTGCAGAATGTCTCCCAACAATCTGCATATCTGAGGTTGATTATATTTCTTCCGGCAATCTTTAATTCCAGCTTGGGATTCATCCAGCCCAGCCTTTCGCATGATGACTTCTGCATATAAGTTAAAAAAGCAGGGAGACAATATACAGCCTTGTCGTACTCCATTCCCAATTTTGAACCAATCAGTTGTTCCATATCCAGTTCTAACTGTAGCTTCTTGTCCCAGATAGATATTTCTCAGGAGACAGATGAGGTGATCAAGCACTCCCATTTCTTTAAGAACTTGCCATAGTTTGCTGTGGTTGACACAGTCAAAGGCTTTTGCATGGTCAATGAAGCAGAAGTAGATGTCTTTCTGGAACTCTCTAGCTTTCTCCGAAATCCAGCGCATGTTTGCAATTTGGTCTCTGGTTCCTCTGCCTCTTCTAAATCCAGCTTGCACTTCTGGGAGTTCTCGGTCCACATACTGCTTAAACCTGCCTTGTAGAATTTTAAGCATAACCTTGCTAGCGTGTTAAATGAGTGCAATTGTGCGGTAGTTGGAGCATTCTTTGGCACTTCCCTTCTTTGGAATTGGGATGTCCATATGTGAAAATAGGTAGTGCATCTTGACGCTCATGTTGCAGCCCAGGTTTCTGAAAGCAGTCAGCATGTTGTTGACAAGTTCTGCGTAGTTTCTGGCCTTATTGTTGCCAGGAAAGTTCTTCACTACCAGAACAAATCCCTTCCACACTTCCAGTTCCACTTCGTTCATTGAGTTTCCGAACTCTGGATCTCTGATGAGCTGACGGATCTGAGGACCGTCAAAGATGCCAGCTTTCAACTTCTCCATGGTCAATCCTGGAAAAAGCCTGGCACAAGTAGGTGAAGCAGTCACCATCCTTGTCCAGAGCCTTGGTGAACTGCTTGATTAATCCGAGCTTGATGTGCAGCGGTGGGAAGAGTATTCTGTCTCTGTCCACCAGAGGGTCGGTGATGATGTTCCTTTTCTTGCAAGGCACCAATTCCTCCCGCACAGGCCAGTCCTTCTTCGTGTAATGCTGAGCACGGTCCCTCCTATCCCACATGCACAGAAAACATGGGTACTTGGTGAAGCCAGACTGTTGTCCCAACAAAAAGTTCACCATCTTCAGGTCAACACAAATAAACCACTTATGCTGATCATAACCAATTTTCTCCAACACATACTTCACCGCTTCATAGTTCTCCTTCAGTGTACTCGAGTGAGCCAGGGGTATAGAGGCAAACTGGTTGCCGTTGTGTAGCAGAACACATTTCAGTGATCGCTTGCTGCTGTCAATGAACAGTCTCCAATCTTTGGGTTCGTACGGTGGCACTCCAAGCTTGAGCAGAAGCTGCGCAATATCTGCACAGTACATCAAGTCCTTCTCTTCCGAGAAAAAACGGAGGTACTCTTGATGCCTGTTGCGGAAGAAGCTGATGCGAGCACTGTCAGAGAGGAGGTTTTTTCCCCTTCAATCTGGATGCCAACAGTTCGGCAGAGTCCTTTGACAAGCTGAGGTCGCGAACTAGATCATTCAACTCCTTTTGGGAAAATGGATGTGGAGCATCATCTTCAAGAACCACTTCTTCTTCTTCTTCTTCTTCTTCTTCTTCTTCTTCTTCATGTCCTTCAACACTGGAGGCATCTTCGTCACTAATGTCAGGAAGTTCTCCGAAGATAGGCACTGGAATTTCATCACAATGAGCTACAGGATGACGTGCTGATTGAAGATCAGGATTAACTTAGTTTTGATCCCCCAACTTTATGCTTTGCCGCACCAATTTATGGAAGATTTCGAGGTTTTATGACTTCAAACTGATCCCTTTTCGACATAATCACCCAGAACTATTGGACCTGAATACTTCTTGTCATTGAAATAATCATTTCCAATCAAAACAATTATTCGACATGGCATTTTACCCCCACCAACTTCTTCTAAAATGCTCCACACAAGCATAGATGTGAACAAAAACGTAAAAAAACGACATGTGGCCATAGCTCAAAAACTTGACCTGATTGAGCAAAACCAATGCGATTCAGCGCATCAGATTCGTCCTAAATCAACTGAAAAAACGCAGACAACAAATTTGTTGTTGACCAGTGTAACCAATCTGATTTCGATGCTGCCCATCTGGTGATGTCCATGTGTAGAGTCGTTTCTTGTGTTGTTGGAAAAGCATGTTTGTGATGACCAGCTTGTTCTCTTGGCAGAACTCTATTAGTCTTTGCCCTGCTTCGTTTTGATCTCCAAGGCCAAACTTGCCAGTTGTTCCTTTTATCTCTTGATTCCCTACTTTAGCATTCCAATCCCCTATAATGAGAAGAACATCCTTCTTTGGTGTCATTTCTATAAGGTGTTGTAAGTCTTCATAGAATTGGTCAATTTCAGTTTCTTCAGCACCAGTAGTTTGTGCATAAACTTGGATTACTGTGATGTTAAAAGGTCTGCCTTGGATTCGTATCGAAATCATTCTATCATTTTTGAGATTGCATCCCAGTACAGCTTACACCACTCTTTTGTTGACTATGAGGGCCACTCCATTTCTTTTACGGGTTTCTTGTCCAACAGTAGTAGATATGATAGTCATCCGAACTGAATTTGCCCATTCCCGTCCATTTTAGTTCACTGATGCCCTAGGATGTCAATATTTATTCTTGCCATCTCATTTTTGACCACATCCAACTTACCAAGGTTCATGGTTCTTACATTCCAGGTTCCTATGCAATATTTTTCTTTACAGCATTGGACTTTCCTTTCGCTTCCAGGCATATCCGCAACTGAGCGTCCTTTCGGCTTTGGCCCAGCCGCTTCATCAGCTCTGAATCTACTTGTACTTGTCCACTGCTCTTCCTCAGTAGCATGTTGGACACCTTCCGACCTGAGGGGCTCATCTTCCAGCGTCATAACTTTTATATGCCTGTTGCCTTTGTCCATGGAGTTTTCTTGGCAGGGATACTGGAGTGGCTTGCCGGTTCCTGCTCCAGGTGGATCACGTTTGGTCAAAACTCTCCACTATGACCTGTCCATCTTGGGTGGCCCTGCACGGCATAGCTCATATCTTCCCTGAGTTATTCAAGCCCCTTCGCCACGGCAAGGCAGTGATCCATGAAGGGGATATTTAGATTAGACCCATTGAAATCAGTGCATTAAAAACAGAAATGCCAAATCACTTCAGTGGGTCTAATCTGAGTAGAAGTAGCATTAGATACCATCCCAAATCTTTGATGATGAATCCAGTCCAAGTGCCCCCTCTGAAAAGTGAGCCGTGAGGAAACTGCTCTGTCTGAATGTCCGGCTCCCCAGGCTGCCTTTGGCTGAGATACTGGCAGACATGCTGTGCCCCCTTCTCTCCCCTGTGCCCCCAGGAGACCCCTTGAGGCCTCACTTCCCAGTTCTCTGGTCTGGGAGCCACAGGACACAGACTCCTGGTCTCTCCTCCTCTCTCCTGCGCTTCTGGATGCGGCCCTTGCAGGAGCAGAGGGAGGTGGGGCAGGGAAGGGGCACTCAGCTCTGGGGGGCAAAGAGCAGCCAAGCAAGGTCTGTCCTCCAGCTCTGTCTTCTCCCCAGGAAAGCTCCCAGCTCTTCACAGCATAGACTGCCCTGATGGTGCTGAGCATCAAAGGGAAGAGGCATGGCCTTTTGAAAAGCAACAAGTTGGCTTAACATCAGCATTTAATTATTTTCACCAGGAGCAAAGAATTTAGTATATAGCCAAAGTGTGTTTGGCACACATTTACAAACATCAATTTATATCTTTATATTGCACTCCATGAGCACAGTTATCTTTCAGTTGTCCTTGAACCTGGGTTCAAATCCCTCAAATGCATCACTTGCTTAATATTATACAGTGGTACCTTGGTTCTCAAACTTAATCCATTCTGGAAGTCTGTTCCAAAACCAAAGCGTTCCAAAACCAAGGCACGATTTCCCATAGAAAGTAATGCAAAACGGATTAATCTGTTCCAGACTTTTAAAAACAACCCCTAAAACAGCAATTTAACATGAATTTTACTATCTAACGAGCAATAATCAATGTACTGTACTATAAAATAAATAAGACAGCATTGTAGATGATAACAATTAAAATTATTATTTTTTCTTACCTGCACTGAAGATAGCCATTGTTTGGATGGGGGGCTTTTATTCATTTCCGCAGTCAAACAATCAGTCATTCAGTTGCCTAAACTGGGTTCCACACAGTCACAAAAAGAAATTAACCGAAAAAGCCTCAAAAACAAAAATGCAAAATAAATAGCAAAAACAAATACAGTTGTACCTTGGTTCTTGAACTTAATCCGTTCTGGAAGTCCGTTCGACTTCTGAAATGTTCAAAAACTAAGGCGCAGCTTCCGATTGGTGCAGGTGCCCCAGAAACAATAGCTGACAGCCGCGTCAGACGTTCGGCTTCCAAAAAACGTTTGAAAACAGGAACAGGATTGTTGGCATTTGGGAACCAAGGCATTTGGGAACCAAGGTACCACTGTATATCACAGCCTTTCATTCAGAAACTGCAAAAAAAAAGATTTAACATGGTGGGGGAAAAGATGGTGATTGCGATACAACAGTGGTGAGAAAACCTTAAAATCTTAAATTGCTACCTACATGAGCTAAATAAGCGAATTAGTGGCAAGAGTATTGTTAGCCCAGAAATGGAAGCAAGAAGAAATTCCGACGAAAGAAAAATGGCAGACAAAATTAATGGACTACGCAGAATTAGATAAAATGACAGGAAGGATTTGAAACTTGTGGGACCAGAGATTCACAAAAGATTGGAAGAAATATACTAACTATTTGAAGAACAACTGTAATCATCAAATTACGGTAGTAGGACTACAAGAAGTTTTGTTAGGAGGAATATATGAAACATTGCAAGGTAGAGAAAGAATAGAGATATTAGTTATGAGATTTAAATGTAATAGTGAAAGTAAGAAATGTAAATTAAGTGATTAGATTGGAAAATTTTCAGATGTGATTGATGGAAGTAAAAAAAACTTACAAGATAAAAAAGTATGTTTAACTATTGTTGGAAATGATATGTTAAAAAACTAATAAAAATTCTTATAAATAAATAAATAAGTGAATTAGTTGGTCTGAAGACGTTAGCTGCAGGATAATCCAGAGAATTTACATTCAGCCTATACTCAGACTTAGTTGTCCAAAGTGTAGGCCTCCCTGGGTTTTGGTGTTTGGGAACCAAGGCGTTTGAGAACGAAGGGACCACTGTACAAAAGTACTTGTATTGGGAGGGGGGGACACAATAATGGAAAATTCTACGAAAGAAGACTCTGCAGTGGCTGGCACAGTTCCCTCCCCCCCCCCATGCCTGTTATTTGTGGCACAAAACAAGGATGCCAGTTGACACTTTGCTCTCTCCCTGGCACCGTTGGCAGTGGCTTTGTGGCCAAGTAGTAATATGGAGGGATCCTGGAAGAGAGCAAAGAGCTGGGAATCCAGTTGGGAATCCAGCCACGGCGCTGCAGATATTGAAATTAGAGGGGGAGGGGTCCCCTGAAACTTTGATAACTCTGTGCTCATGTGCCCTAATACTGGTCCCAGGCAGCAAGTTGATTTTAGTTGCATTATTGAGGTGCCAGTATGCCCCCCCCCAGTCTGCTGCAATCATGACCCCAGAATAGGCACAGCCAGGAGTTCTCTCCATTCTGTGAATCTTCTTCCCTCCGCCTCCTCGTCCTCCCCACTGCCCAGGTGAACTGGGGCGGGGGGGGGGGACGACAACGGCCAGGGTTCTGCAGTGCTGGAGACGACAGGAAAGAAGGATGGTGTCCCTATTCCATATTCCATAGGGAGATGGGGGCTCCCACAGGGATGCTGGCTGTCAGCCCCCCTCTCTCCTTGGAGCCTTTCAGAATCCAGCTTTTTTTGGGGGGGGTTCACCAAGGTTGTCTGGACTGCGCTCACTCTACCTTCTGGGGGGCTGATAGAGAACGGGCCCCCATATCTGGTAGTCGCTCTTCAAAACCTGCCTTACCCCATGGAACTGACTGCCAGGAAATTGTCCCTCAACAAGAGAGTTCAGAAATGAGCTAGTCAAGTTCTTCCCAAGTGGTTTCAGGTATCCTGTTGTGTGGGCAGCCAGGATCACAAACAGATTTTATAACAGAGCCAGTGTGGTGTAGTGGTTAGGAGCAGTAGACTTGTAATCTGGTGAACCGGGTTCGCGTCTCCGCTCTTCCACCTGCAGCTGCTGGGTGACCTTGGGCCAGTCACACTTCTTTGAAGTCTCTCAGCCCTACTCACCTCACAGAGTGTTTGTTGTGGGGGAGGAAGGGAAAGGAGATTGTTAGCCGCTTTGAGACTCCTTAAAGGGAGTGAAAGGCGGGATATCAAATCCAAACTCTTCTTCTTCTTCTTTATTTCATTACACAAATGTAACTGCCCGATCCTCTGCATGTTTACTTGGAACTAAGTCCAACCCCACTCGCTGTGACTTACCTTCAAGTAAATATGCAAAAAGAAATGTATGTACAGTCGTACCTCTGGTTGCGTCCACCTCCAGTGGAGGAGATCCAGTGTGGTGTAGTGGTTAAGAGCGGTGGTCTCGTAATCTGGGGAACCGGGTTCGCGTCTCCGCTCCTCCACATGCAGCTGCTGGGTGACCTTGGGCCAGTCACACTTCTGTGAAGTCTCTCAGCCCCACTCACCTCACAGAGTGTTTGTTGTGGGGGAGGAAGGGAAAGGAGATTGTTAGCCGCTTTGAGACTCCTTAAAGGGAGTGAAAGGCGGGATATCAAATCCAAACTCTTCTTCTTCTTCTTTATTTCATTACACAAATGTAACTGCCCGATCCTCTGCATGTTTACTTGGAACTAAGTCCAACCCCACTCGCTGTGACTTACCTTCAAGTAAATATGCAAAAAGAAATGTATGTACAGTCGTACCTCTGGTTGCGTCCACCTCCAGTGGAGGAGATCCAGTGTGGTGTAGTGGTTAAGAGCGGTGGTCTCGTAATCTGGGGAACCGGGTTCGCGTCTCCGCTCCTCCACGTGCAGCTGCTGGGTGACCTTGGGCCAGTCACACTTCTCTGAAGTCTCTCAGCCCCACTCACCTCACAGAGTGTTTGTTGTGGGGGAGGAAGGGAAAGGAGAATGTTAGCCGCTTTGAGACTCCTGAAGGGGAGTGATAAAGCGGGATATCAAATCCAAACTCTTCTTCTTCTTCTTCTTCTTCTTCTTCTTCTTCTTCTTCTTCTCCAGTTGCGTATTTTCGGAATACGAACGTGGCAAACCCGGAAGTATACTTCCAGGTTTTCGCTGCTTGAGCATGCACAGAAGCGCGTAGAAGCGGTGCCTCTGCTTGCGGATGGACCCCCGGAACAAATTAAGTTCATATCTGGAGGGTCCACTGTAATATGTAACGGGAGAATCAAAATGATCTGTCCAATTTAAGGATTATGGGACTTCAAAATGATTGTTTAAATGTTGTTGTTGTTGTTGTTTTGAAGATTTGGTGGTAGCCCCCTGGGGTGGGCAGGAGGGTGCAGGGACCCACCATCTTTGACAAGGGCAGCCTGGCTTCTGCTGAGAAGGGGGGGCCATTTTGAAGTGGGGCAACACGCCCTTGCGGCTTCCCTTTCCCTCCCAGGCTATGAGGAAACTTCTTTTTCCAAAGGCCCTTCCATGACTTTCCTCCTTTTAGGGAAAAGGTCCTTGATATTGAGAAGCTGGGGGGAGAGAGATGGAGGGGAAAAGGAGACCTTCTCTCTTGAAAGGGCCCCCAGTGTGTGGGTGTCCCCCTTCCATGTTGCCCCTTTCCTCTTTCTAGGGGGGGGGGCGGGGGACAGCTGATGCATCCCTCCAAAAGGGGCAAGATCCAGAGGAGCAGAGCTGGGGGATAAAACCCTGCAAGGGATGCTCCTGTTGGGCAGGAAGGGAAACCCCACTCCTCCCCCGCCTCCAGGGAGTCGGGAGAATCCACTAGGAATTGGGGGGGGAGAAAGTGTGAGGTGATGAGAGGGAGGGGGGCAGTTAAAGGGGGGCTTTATAGGCTCAGGATTGTAGTGTTTTCCCTCAGTGAACCTGTTATGCGGATGAGCCTTCAGAAAGATACAATGCTGGTTGATTTTTCTCCCCTCTGACTGCTGCCTCTTCCCTGAGTCTGAGGCAAATAAATCCTTTTTCCTGGGCTCCTTTGCTGATGGGGGAGCAGCTGCTGTGACCCCCCCTTGACCTCCTGGGTCTCTTCTGGTCCTTCCAGGGATCCACACCTATCAGCTGATGTACGGCTGTGAGCTGAGGTCAGACGGGCGCAAAGGAGGGTATGTTCAATACAGCTACGACGGGAGAGACTTCCTCGCCTTCGACAAGGAGACCCTCACCTGGACGGCAGCCGAGATGGAGGCCCAAGTGACCAAGAGGAAGTGGGATGCTAACTTGGCCGGGAACCAGCACAAGAAGCACTACCTGGAGGAAGAGTGCATTGAGTGGCTGCAGAAATACCTGGACTACGGGAAGGAGACTCTGCTGAGGACAGGTGAGGGGGGCAGTGGGGAGGGGAAGGCGCCTGAGTGGGGCAGTTTCCCTTCAAGCTCCCCTCCCCCCCTTAACAGTCTTCCTTTTTGGACCAAACAGCAAACACTTTTCTTGGTGGGGGAGGCAGAAATAAGTTTGGGCCTCTGGGAGGAGAAAAGGGGTTACTTCAGAGTATGATGTGTGTGTGTGGGGGGAGAGATGCTTAAAAACAGCCCCCCATGCCCCTTTGGCTAGAACAAAGGATGTCAAAAGACAAATGGGGGGAGGGGACACAGAAACAGCAGGGAAGGGGCCAGGAAAGCAAAATGCATTTTTAATTAAGTAAAAAATTGAAATTGAAACGGACGGATTTCAGGCAGGATACAGAAAAACCTTTTCCCTTTTCACTTGGGTATGTACTTGTGAGGAAAGTCTTTAAAACTAATTTAATTAACCTTATTTAAAGTAGAAAATGTTTGGGGAGCTCATAAAATATGGATGCAGCCCCCTCACTAAGTCTGTAGGTTAGCCACTCGTGGCCTAGAAGCAGAAAACCTTCACATAGTGAGAGAGTATGGGAATTCCCTCTTCTACCTTCTTATATTTTTTATTTGTGAGGAATATGACTTTTTCCCATGGGGAACGTTCAGAAGTGTCATCTTCCCCAACCCCGTGCCTTCAAATGGTACAGTCCACTCTTCCACCTTCAGGAATCTGGCTCAGGTGCCAATCAAATGATCAAGTGTTTTGACTGGCTTTCTTCCTATCTCTATTAGCTTTGCTAATATGAATATTAATTCAAAATGAAATAATTCTAGCACCCTCCCTTTTTGAGGACTGACACATACATGTTAGCCGTGCTTAGAGAGATCTGCGCAAATTCATCTATGGGGACCTGGTGATAATTCACCCCAGAGACACTGAGCATATTTGTTGAGGTTGAGGGTTTCACCTCAAAAGCCACAATGAAGCGTTTTCAAGGGTGACAACGTGCAAAGGAGGCTGGGAATCATCCTCTTTGGGACGGAGGTTCTGCTGAGGACAGGTGGGGATGGGGTGGGGAGGGGAGGTCTTGTTTTGGGTTTCTGTGGGGAAAGGGCTTGACCTTCCTTCCTTCCTGCTCCCCCCAGCAGAGTCACATCCCCTCCTAGACCGAGTTTCCAGTCCAGGCACTGCAAAGCGGGTGGGATCCTGGAACAGCCCCTTCAGACAACAGCTACCCAGGGAGCCAGGAAAGGGGAAGGATGCATTCTTGAATATTAACCAAACTTTTTAAACAAGGGTTACATTCTGTGGATTGTGCCTAAAGCAAAATCGTGTATAGTCAAAACAAATTGGATTCACAGTCGATTGGGTTTGCCAAAGTCTTTCTTGCCTGGACACCCGCCCCTTCCCACCCTGTTTTTGGTTTTTACAATATTTTTTGCCAAGTGCGTAAAGCTGTATGTGCACAAGTTAAATGTGCATAAGTTGCTGGCTTCCTGGGCCTCCTGGTCTGCCATTTCCACTCCAGGGGAGGCTACCGTGGGGAAGGGAAGTGGGCCCTTTCAAGTCCCACCATGGGGGACCTGGTGAAATTTGCCCCCTCAGCCTAGAGGCAGCTCCCTGGGACAACTCTTCGAACCACAAGTTGTCATATTTGAGTAGTGTTAGAGCTTTATCAAGAGTTTTATCAGGATGATAAATTAATTTAATTTGTACCAATCCTCCCTCCCAAAGGAGTCTTGCTTGGCAAGCAAAGGATAAAACATCTAAAAACAGTTCCACCATAGACACTGATTGGGGAAGATGCCAAGGCAGGTTGAGGAATCCCGTTTTTTTGCAGTTCTTTTAAATTTCTGCAGATGTGAGGAGATTCTGACACTCTGGGAGGCAGGACTAGGTTGCCCCTTGGGTCTCTGCTCTTAAAAAAAAAAACAGGATTCCTTCTGGCTCCTGTTGTGGATGTCTCTCTGTTAACCCCAATGCGACCCTTTTTGCAGAGGCTCCGGTGGTGAAGGTGACCAGGAAGGCAGACTATGACGGCCTGGAGACCCTCGTTTGCCAAGTCCACGGCTTCTACCCCAAGGAGATTGAGGCCAACTGGGTGAAGGACGGGGAGGTCTGGCAGGAGGGCACCCTCCGAGGATTGGTCGCCCCCAACTCGGACGGGACCTACTATCTCTTGCTCCATGTCCAGATCAACCCCGAGGAGAGGGAGCACTTCCGGTGCCACGTGGAACATGACAGCCTGGAGAAGCCTCTGGACGTGGCCTGGGAGGAGGAGCCTGGTGAGAGACAGACAGACAGACAGCAGGGGAAGGGGTGGGCTCTGGGAGGGGGATTTCCACCCAACTCCTCCCTCCAGCAGCAGCACAGCTTAGATGGGGATCCCCAGTTGGATCCTGTCTGTGTCTCCGGAGACAAGCATATAATATTTATTATTCCTGTTAAATCATATGCTTATATAATTACTTGGTTAACTACCATAGGTAACAAATAATAAAATTGTCCTTGTAAACCTTCTTATAACCCTACTAGCGATGTTAATTGTTTACAGTTGTCTTTCAAATATAGTATGAATTAATTCCAGTCCTTCTGAAAAGCCAGATCTTGCTGGTACCGGATTTTTCCCGTCACTTTCCCCAATTCGGCATAGTCCAATAGCTCCGTCTGCCACTCTTCTTTCGTTGGTAAAGCTTCCTGCTTCCATCTTTGGGCTTATGGGATTCTTGCTGCAGTTGTTGCATATAAAAATAATGTCTTATCCTGCTTATATATTTCTCTACTTACTATACCTAATAAAGAAAGCTGCTGGGTTTTTTTTTTATATAAATGTATATTTCAACATTTTTTCCAGTTCATTATATATGATTTCCCAAATGGGAAATGGACAGACATCTGGACAAGTCTGGATAAGAGGACGTGTCCAGGAAAAACCGGACATATGGCAACAGGTGTGGAAAAATACGATATTGGGGCCCCGCTAATTGATTTATGGCCCTCAATTAGCTCTTTATGGCAGCCCGGTCCGGCGCGCTTCCCTCAGCTGCGCCACTCAGCTCCGTCTCTCGGTAGCTCCAGTCACACCTGTAGCAGAGTTTCACACAGCGGTGTAAAACAGTCTTACTCCTTGTAAGCACACATAGACAGGTTCGTCTATTTACAGCTCTTTATTCCGACATTCCCCCAGGAATCTCCTGGGCTCCTTTCAGCCATTACCGGCTACGTCTTTCTCCCTCAAAGACCAGAGGGGAACAGAACAGAAACCACTCCCAGGCTCCTCCCAGCTTCCACAGCTGACGTCAGAATGTTGAGGCATCCTGGGAACTTCTTAACCAGTTAAGTTCCAAACCCCAACACCCCCTCTGCATCACATTCTGACAAGACCCCTTTGAGTTCAACACCTTCCCCTTTGCCTTGTGCCCCTTCCCGGCATCTTTCCCAGGCACCTGTTGAACTCCTTCAACACTCCCAGAATCACACTGTGCGACACTTTTCCACGCACCTGTGACCTGATACCCTACTGACCCATTAGGGCCAGCAGTTGTGTCTTCTCCGTCAGACTCTTCCCCCTCTGACTTGACACCCCTTCCGTGAGCTTCCTCCATTACCGGAGATGAAGCCTCACACCTGGACACTCCTTTCACAACCCTTGGAGATGCCCAAACCTGCCCTGAACCCTGACCCTGGACTTGGTCCCCGTCACCGGGTTTTGAACCCTGATTCTGGACCTGATCCCCGTCACCGGGCTCAGCAACAGCCTCCCTTCTCCCTTGAGAAGACTTTGCACCCGTCACCTAGTGACGTATTTCCTTTTCCTTG